CGTGAAGTCGAAGAAGTCGTGGTACTTGAAGAAGACACCAAGAGACAGCAGCACTTGCGCTCCAGGCCGGTGACGGCATGAAAAGGTGTCTTTATGTCACACCAAAAGATTCGAGTGTGACAGAAAAAATTCTGTGTCCACATATTCCCATCAAAACTGACCTTGCATTGACAGGTTCTTCTTTTTTCGAAGCATCTCTGTGGCCATTGACACGCATGTGTGCTCTACACTTGGTCCAAAATCTCACACAGTCAGGAACACCTCTTGGACTGAAGTCAATCAGCAAGATTGTCATCGACTGGGAACATCAGAGCACGTGAGGAAGGAGCAGGGCCGTCTTTTGCAACAATCTCTGCGTCACGAGTCTCTGCTCGGAGAACGATCTGAGTAGATTGCTTTGTGCTTGTGTGCGTAAAGAGAAGACCATTCCTTCAAGGACGGCCCCCTCGACGCAAGCGCATCGGTAAACTAAAGTACGTGTTGGCCCACCACTTGCCCCACGCACGAACTGTCTCGCCGGAAACTTCGCGGGAAAACCAGCAAAGCCTTCGTCCGCTGTCATCCTTCTCAAACCAGCGGCTACAGATCCTTAGGAAACGAATGTGATGGCAGAAGCTGAAGAAGACAGGAGTCCGGACAGTGCCTCTGTGAACATTGCAACTGTCTTTCAGAACTACAACACAAGGCTGCAAAGCGACAAAACGGCGTGTCCTGCCCGCGTGCCACTGTGCCAGATCTTCTGCCTGGCGAGCCGGTTCATTGCACGTGCACCCCAAACCAAAAAGGAAAATCAACAATAGGAAACCCGCCTGAGCGCGTAGCCACACTGTTCACACCTTCCATATTTCGTTGGCTTCAGATGCCACTCATCAACCTGCGCCGCAGCAGTGCCACTCGAGGAGCCAGCGCTTCGCACGCGCACGCGTGGAGAGAGCACCGGCGCAGAAGTCGGGGTGCTTGAAGACGGCCCGTCAGGAACATGCGTGGAAGGCATAGGCATAGAAGTCGTGGTACTCGAAGAAGACACCAAGCTCGGCATAGCAACGCCGGGCTGCACATCCACAGATGGGGCTGTGGAACTTTCAACCACTGGCTGAGGGAGCTGACGCCACCCAGGAAGACTGTTCTCCCACCAAGCTTCAAGTTTGCTCCTCAAGTGATGCGGAGACTCGTCGCCGCGGGGAGGAGACAAAGAGTCTGCTTCACTGGCCAGGTCACCTGTCCGTCTTTTCTTGGACATCGGAGAAGGCGAACAAAGATCGACAGTATTGAAGCTTTGCAATGTAGGTGAATCCAAAACCTGGGCGATGTTTGGGTATTGTTTTGCACAACCTTTCAAAAGCCACGGAACAAAAACAGGGTGCACGGAAAACTGCTTGAGTCAAGATGGTTGGCTGGCATTGCCGCTGAGATGCTGGTATGATCGTGGTCTGTCGCCGGGGCGTCAAGGATCCAGACACCAAAATTGCCGCAGTGCCCGTGTCGTCATGCCTGCGAATTTGCAGAAGGAGAACAAAATGACACCCAAAGTGGGCGCAGAACCGATTCCACAGGATGCGCCTTCCGTGCTCAGCGTCGTCACGCCTTGCTGGATGTGCTGAAGATTGTGCGCCGGCCTATTCGCATCACCGGGCGCGTGGAATCCGGAAAATCGAGGAAGCTCTTCATAAACAAACCACTGGCTCCATGGTTACGGTTACAGAGATTCACACAAGGAAAACACAAATTTGCGGGGCAGATTTGTCTTCGAAGCACCACATGTCCCCCAAACAAGTGCAAGGACCTCTGCAGGACCCGTTTCACGTTCCCAGATCCACCGAGGCACCGTGTCCTCGTTCAGGACCTCTGCATGACCATCATGACGAGTTTGCTCTGCATGGCTCGAAGACATGGGGCGATTTAATCTTGCAGATAACACATGCAAAGCAGCTAGTTGAATCCAAAACTGAGACCTGTTCTTGCTTTTCAAGATTGTCAACCAAACTCGCAACCACGTGTATCGAAGTAACCCCAAAAAAGGTGGAAGAACGTTGAGATCCAAAGGCCACCTATCGTTTGAAGAAGTTACATCCGAAACAAAATCAACCAACGGATCACCTCCCACCGGGAACGAACCAACATCAATTAATCCGTCCAAAAAGAAGGGGTCCACACAAAAAAAAACCTCTAAAGATGACTCAGAAACGGTTTCCCCACACAAACGAAGCAACAAAATGAACGACAAACACAAAAGAGTTTCGCGGCTGAGAGCCATGGCCGCGGCTGCGGGATTGAAACATGAGCCGAACGAAACCGGCGGTAATCAAACGAAAACGAAGGAGAAACGCACGAAAACGAACGAATCGACGAACCGAACGAAACCACGCCCCCCCCCCAACAAACGAAACCCTCCACACCTGTAGCTCACAGAAGGACAAAGTCATATATCAAGCACACTAGATACTGCATTATTGGAGGTTATTACATATCAGACACAGGCGCCTGGAGGCGTTACCAGCACTTTTTGGATGCCGGTCTTTTCCGGCCTTCCGTAGTTGAGCGTCGAGTCTGGTAGGTCGGCATTTCTTTCAAGTTGTTGTTCCAAAACTTGATGGCCTCCTCCACCCAGAAGCGATGGCTGCATGGTCGCATTCATGGAGTTGAGGGCAAAGTTCTTTCTGCGAATCCATGCGTTGCAGAGGCTGCCCCTGGACCTGCAACCTCTCCAGGTTGTGGCGGCACTGTGCGAACAGGACACTTCTGCCCAATGGGCTTTTCCCTCCACCGGACTCTCCGAGCATGACCAAGGAAGCTTGGTCAAAGTCCCAAATGGCTTCCAAAGCCTTCAATAACTTCCGCGCGGAAGTATTTTGGCGTGAGTGGTAATGGCCAATGATGCTCTTTGCGGGCTAAAGCTCCGTCGGCAGCCAAGTTCCGAAGAGCTTGACTAACCAACCTACAGGCCAGCCAAAGATTGGAGACGATTTGTTGCGAAGTTCTTTAGTCTGCCAACGGAGCTGGGCCATTTCACAAGATGAGCGAGGGCCGATCTTGAGAATATGATCAAAGCCCGCATCGATGTCATCATCGTCCTTCTCCTCAAAGCTGCTGTCGGGCTTTGGGCCTTTGCGACTTGCCTGGGAAGTGAGCTCAAAGCACTTGAAGATACGCCCACCCAAGTTCTCCAGGCAGTACTGCAAGATTTTCCTGCCACCTTTGGGGGAAGGCTGCATCCACATAGATTGAAAGCCCTCACAGTAGATGAGCTGTTTGAAGAAGGTTGCCTTGATTTTTCCCGGAAAGGCCAAATGCTTCAAGATAGTGGTTTCACCCTCGGAGTTTTTGATGATGACGATTTGGATGGTCGTTTCCTTGGGGACTTCAACCTTCAGACCAAAAGGGGCGGGAAGATACTGCAAATCCTTGCGTTCGCATGCCAGTTTGTAGCTAGTGCTGAGGTCAGAAAAGTTGATGTCGCCCTGAAAGTTCTGGATGAGGTCAAAGGCATGGACCAGGTTTGTTTCCCCTCCGTTCAGTTCCTTCATAGGGAAGGTGAGGATGTTGAAGGAGCCGCATGGCTGGAGAGGGAGCGACATGGGAGCGATGCTCCTGCAAATGAGGCCATTGACAACCTCATGCAAATCATCATACGTCATATCTTCAGACTGCATGGCGGAGTTTACTACAGCAGACGAATGCTACCAATGGCGTTTCCTGAATCCTTGATGGATGACAAATGCTAACAGACAGATCCTTCCAGGCAATGTCAGACACATCAATCATTCTCAAGAAAACGCATGAAAACAAGTTAAAAAATGCTCAGTTTCATCGAAAAACGCGCCGCTCACAGCGCTCCCCTCTCTTTGCGAAATAGGTTCACTTTGAACCTTGGCTTGCTCCGTCGGAAGTGGTCGGATGGCTCCAAACTGAGTCCTTGCGCCTTCCTACTTGCTTGGTCCACTTGGAGTCCACTCGATTTTTCAAGTATCAGAAGCTGAAATGACTTTAGAAAGGCTTGGCGGGAGCTGAAGCGTCGTCGATCAAACTACGCTGGGATTTTGAGGTATAGGTTAGGAAGTGCACTGTTTGTCAACCTTCCCCCAAACCCGTCAGTCATTGCTGGGGTGGCGCCCTTCGTCTTCTTCCAACCTGGCATGCCAGGGCTCGAGCCCAGCATTCTCGCTTTGGAAGCGCTTGTTCTGCAACTGTGCTGTGGTGCATGGGTCCGGTCCCTCCCAGGTTGTCCTACCTCCCGCATCCCAAAAATAACCTAGTTATTTGTGGTGGGCTTGTGGCCTTGTTTGTGGGGCTCTCGAGGCCACCTCGATCTGTAGGAGGGCCCAGTAAGAAAAGAAATCTGGTCTGCAGCGGAAAAAGTCAGACTCGGTCAAAACAGGTTGTTGTCCAGGTTTCCTTATCTACCAAGTGCTGCTGCTAGAGGTGGCCTCAAAAACCACCAAAAGCAACCACAGGAGCCAGCAACAGCTAGAGGTGTCAGAAACACGCCCTCCCAAGCAGAATGCACGGCTCAATCTCTTGCTTGAGGGATGCTTTGATAAATTCAAGACATTTCCAGACTATGAGAATGAGATGTGTTGGCTGCCAAGCACAACCCCTTGGCCAGCCACGTCCCTCCAAAGGGGTGCGTGTGCTGGTTGGGGGGTCAAGACAGAGAGAGAGAGAGAGTTAGACACAGACAGAGAGAGACACAGACAGACAGCCAGCCAGCCAGGCAGGCAGGCAGGGGCAGGCAGGCAGAGGCAGGCAGGCGGAGGCAGGCAGGCAGAGGCAGGCAGGCAGAGGCAGGCAGGCAGGCAAGCAGGCAGGCAGGAGAGGCAGGCAGGCAGGCAGACAGACAGAGACAGACGGAGACAGACAGAGACAGACAGAGACAGACAGACAGAGACAGACAGACAGAGACAGACAGACAGAGACAGACAGACAGACAGAGACAGGCAGACAGAGACAGACAGACAGAGACAGAGAGAGACAGACAGAGAGAGACAGACAGACAGACAGACAGACAGAGACAGAGACAGACAAACAGAGACAGACAGACACAGACAGACAGAGACACAGACAGACAGACACAGACAGACAGACAGAGACAGACAGAGACAGACAGAGACAGCGACAGAGACAGGGACAGGGACGGGGACAGAGACAGGGACAGACAGAGACAGACAGACAGAGAGACAGAGACAGAGAGACAGAGACGCAGAGACAGAGACACAGAGACAGAGACACAGAGACAGAGACAGACACAACGAAATAGTTTCCAAATGAGCCACGTTTTTTGCAAATGATTAGGTTTATACAAAAGGGAACTGTTGAGAAGTCGCGGAGGCTGTTCTGCTTGGGGCGTAGGCGTCGTGTAAGCATTTTGCGTAGGTGGGTGTTGAAAGATTTGCGTAGGCAGTCTTGCGTAGGCACCCTTTTCATGAAAGCCTGAATTTTCTTATTCAGACTTCTTTAAAAGTTGTTCAAGGGTCTTGGGGAAAGATAATGTTGGCTTGTAGTTGTTTAACTTGACACTTGCTTGCAAATTCCAGTGGGGAAGGAAAATGAACATTAATTGTAACGACATGGCTACAGTGGATGTTTGAAGTTTGTTTGTCGAAGCTATGGGGGCACATTGGTTTTTGAGGTCAAAAGCTTGATCGTGCTTGGTCTGGCACACCGGCTCTTGAGCTACAACTGTGCGCACCCTGTTGGTACCATAATCAATGGACCTATTTTCGCGTAGGCTCCGCGTAGGCGCTCGCGGAAGCAGCGCGTAGGCAAGAAGCTATTGGCTGCTGCTACTGCTTGGCTGCTGCTTTTGCTGCTGCTTGGCTGCTGCTGCTGCTGCTGCTGCTGCCTCTTGTTTTCTGCTGCTTGTTTGCTGCTTGTTGTGCGCTGTTTATGTGCTGCTGCTTCCACACTGTAGTTGGATCGGCTTGATACAAAATCTATCTGGCCATCGGTAGCAAAGCTGTAAACGCCTTGTAAACAGGAACCTGATGTGACCCGGTCGCATCGGGCCACTACTTGCGGATTATATAGCTCTTTTCGAGTCACCTGATGTGACTAAAGTTGGTGACAGTACCCTGCGTAGGCATCCCGCGTAGGCACCTAACAAAGAGAACCTTTCGCGTAGGCATTTGCTTGAGACGGGAGCCCAGGCGTAGGCACCCGCGTAGGTACAGACCCAGTGTATAAGCCCCACACCACAAAAAAAAACACAACTCAAATTTCACCCGACGTCACTAAATCAGGGATAAGGGATAGCGTGGCAGTACATCGGCGCTGGTCACTCCAGCGGGGTGGTGACGGCAAGTGTTGCAGCAGAGGACGCCACGCACGACTGTAACCACTGCATCCAGCGTGGCCTCAACACCTGTTATGGTGCTCTGAGGCACTTTGCAATAAAGACGGAACAACGACAAGACACATTTGCCTGACATCCAGACTCCGCAACTAAATAGTTCGTGTTTTGGGCACGTCGATCCGGCATTCATTTATCATTGCACAGTCATCCCGAATTGCCATGAGTGCTTGGCTGAGGACATTTCTTTCATGTATGGCGCCCGGCCCACAACCGGCAATTGATTCCCCTCGAGATCATGCAAACAGCGCAGTCAAACCAATATGGTCCTACTCACATTGAGCAACTGTCACAATTTACTCTTGATGTTTTGAGCGTGCATTTTGTCAGATCACTAACGCTACTGCCATGGTTCCTTCGAACCATCTCACAACTATAAATTTGCCCGGCTGCCTCGGAAAAGAACGTAAGTGGCATTGAGCAGCTGTGCGTTTGGACTTTGAATAACGAGTTTGCTGCCCGATGACACCGCTGCTGCCTTATGGATGGTGACGCTGAGGATGAGTTTCCAGACCAAACCACAGCACCAAAGCCCCTCCCCCTGACTGATTCTTGAGAGTCCATTGTGTTCAAAGGCAAATACAGATACAGGCCCCCATGGGAATGTGTTCTGAATGTATGCAACGCGGACATGTGCCAAGTTTATGTTCCGTATGCAGTCATTAAGCAAGAACATCCACAAAAGAGCAGGCTGGCATTTGTATAGGGACTTTTACTCATGTTGTGACACAGAATCACTTGAATGTAACAATCGAATGTCATTGTTTGAAAGGACAGTTTCTGACAGCGCCCATCTCCAACAAATTAGTAAGTACCTGCATATATATTGTGTGTATGTATGTATATGTACTGGTACTGAATTAAATGAAGGTTATGTGCGTCTCAGGGGAAATTCCGCATGTCCTCCTTCGCAGCTGTCCAGAAACCAACTGCCACAAAGTGAAACTCATTGATCCAGTAACTTCCCTGATGGCTTTGCCGACGGTTGTTTGGAGTGTCACTGCCAAGGTGCAGCAAAGCCTCAATATCGCACCCCACCCCAACCTACTTGCGGACCTGCTATAGTATTTCTCCGGCCTGACAACAATTGGTTGCAGTGAGGCTTCCAGCAGCCGCAAGTGTAAAATTGAGCTTTTTGGTTAAGCTGCTACAAAGCTAACCCCCCCCTGGTCAAGGATTGTATGAGAGTAAAGAGGAACTGCATCATAGTCCGGAAAACCAAATCTCACAGTTGTGTGCATGCGCGAGCCAAATCGCGTTGGCACCACAATTATTCGTGAAGGCAACCTGCGTGGGCAAACTTCATTTGATGTTTGTTTTTTGCAGTGATGAGTATCTGGAATATGTTGTTTCTTATCTCCCTAGCCTTGAAAAAATTGAAATCTAAAAGGTTCACGAAAGCGTTTTGCAAAGGCACCGACCCCACTGTTTGGGCTGGCCTGCTGCTTCCCATTGCAAAAACGCCCGGTGTTTGCTGCCTAGATTTTTGGTGGAGTGAGATTGTAGTCTGCTCAGAAACGGTATGCAAAAGCTGCCAAAAGACGCGTGTCGTGTTCATTTTTGGAACACTTCAAACATGCCCGGCGCAATATGCCCGGCGCAATGCAGTGATCCGATACCCCAGACCAAGAAGAACCTGAACCAATCGTGCACAAGAACTTAGTGCGATATTATGTGCCAATCCTTACCCTGCGCAA